GGAGGGGGGCCATCTTAAACTTCTGCTGTCATTCTGATTGCCTGTTACTGAGGAAGAAAGTAAGAAAGTTCTGGGCTCCTCTGGTTGTCCCACGGCAGGGGTGGCGTAAGTAGGTTCAGTTTCAACCTTCCGGGTCAAAATTCTCCTGGACTCTAAGATGGGTCTAAGAACATTGGCTTAACCAAGCTCTCTGCTTTATGTTGTCGGGTTGTCTGGTGTTGCTTGGCGGGATGCTCTCTGCGTGTAATACATGTGCCAGTGCCGAGTTGGATAGCTGCAGCTAGTACACTGGGAAGGGCTGGGGGAAGGGGGCCGGGGGGAGGGGGGAGCCAGGACTGTAAGGAGAAGGGGCCGGATCAGAACAGTGGGAGGAAGGGAGTGGCCGGGATGGTGGAGAGGAGAAGCAGGGGACCAGGGCGGGGCTCGGGGTGCAGCTGCAGCTGTGGGCGGGGCCAGCACCCTGGGAGGAGTGGCGTAGCCAGGGAGCGAAAGGCCTGTGGGGAAGAGGGGCGGGTTTGAATTGAAGCGGGGTTTCCCACCAGAAGATGGGGCTTTGGCCCGGTTCCCGGACAACGTAATAGTCTTTGTCCAGCGGTAGCAGCTTGGCAAGGCCGAAGTCAGCGATCTTGACGTGCGTCTCATTCTCCACCAGGATGTTCCGCGCTGCCAGGTCGCGGTGCACACAGCGGCGGGAGCCCAGGTACTCCATGCCCTGCAGGCGGACGTGGGGTCCGGACCCCAGGATGACTCAGCAGGGGTCCTCGAGCCCGGCCTGGATCCAGATCCCAGCCTAACCCCACTGCCCCATCCTACACTCCAGTCCTGACCTTAGCCCGAACTCAACCCCACCTCCAACCAGACCTGGACCCCGAACATAAACTTTCTGCTTTCCCCAGACTCCCCCCGCCCCGCATCCCCTCCCCCCAGGCTAGCCAGCTCGGCCGCAGGTCCAGGGGCTTCCGCCGCACCTTGCAGATCTGCGAGGCGTAGAGGAGCAGGCGGCCAGCATCGAGGCGCGCCCGGTGCCGCTGCAGGAAGTCGCGCAGGCAGCCGCTGGGCAGGTACTCCATGACCAGCCGCAGGCTCTGGCGGCCTAGGAGTCAGGGAGGCGGGAGGAGTCACCAGGGGTCCAGCCCTTGTCTACTCCCTTCCCCATGCTTCCTCCTGTCCCGAGTGGGACCCTGGGTTCTTCCTGGACTCAGTATTGCTTTCTATAAAACTAGAGGCCCGATGCACGAAATGCAGCGGCTGCATGGCTGCCCGGGCTTGGACCGGAAGGACGTCCGGTCTAATTAGCACATTACGCTTTTATTATTATAGATGGGAAGGCAACAACACTTACTGCTGATGTCTCTTGAGTACTTTGCACCATATATGCTGATGCACTGACACCTCAGAATGAGCCATTTTTCAGGTGGGAATATTGAAACTCAGAAAAATCACCCGTCCCTTGGGACAGGGCGGGAAGTGATAGCGCAGAATAAATAACAGTGTCCACGGCACCTACTGGTGTTCGCAGACTACCCCAAAGCGGCACTGCAGGGTGATGAGGAAGTGGGATGTAAAGAGCGCCCGTTGGGGCGGGGTGCACCTGGGCCATAGCTGACGCCGCGGTACTTGACAATGAAGTCGCTGTGCAGGGCTTTGAGGATCTGGATCTCCCGCTGGAAGTCCCTCTGCTGGTCTGGCCCGCTGTGCTGCAGCTGCTTCACAGCCACCAGGGCGCCCGTGTTGTCTCCCAGGGGGTCGTAGCGGCACAGTTCCACGCTGCCAAAGTTGCCCTGAGGGAGAGCAGGGCTGGTGTCCACGTGCCTGGGTGCCACCCTGCCCACCCCAGCCCAGCCCACCTCACCTTGCCTAGCTGTGAGATGTACTTGAGGTGTCTCTCCTCAAAGATGGTAGGGTCCTGGCAGGCGTAGAGCTGGGCGCCATTCCACAGCCCGTCATGGGGCGCCAGGGCACCAGGTGTGGGGTCCGAGAGGAGCTCATAATCTGGGGGCCACAGACAGTGAGTGGTCTGAAACTGATCTGCTATGTGACCTCAATCTGCACGCAGACCCCTTCTGTGCACATGGCCACCGCGAGCCAAAGGGTACTTCGTGGGGCTGAAGTAGTGCCCTCAGGGCCCAGGCAGGTCCCTCAGGCAGGGCACACCCTGTGCCACTACACGTGGCTATGGGTATTGAAGGGCCTTTCCAGACTCCACTGCTGTGAGCTGTGGTCACATGACTGAGCTCAGACTGATGGGGGAGATGCACTCTGCACCCCTTCAGGCCTGGCACATGGAAACCTAAAATGGGACCCTCCACACTCTTTCTCTTAACTACAGAGGATCCAACAGAGACCTGAGACCCTGGGATGGGTGGAGCCACCAAAGAAGAGGTGCCTGTTGACCTGGACATTGAATGAGAGCTAAACACCCATCATGTTCAGCCTTGAGCTCAGGTGCTGTTTGTTACAGCTGCTATCAAACTGACCATTACAGCTGACTGTTACAGGACCAACACTCCAATCTTTCTAGGCACACAGATTGGGCTCTGCTCCCACTGGGCCCAATACGACATGCAGGTCCTGCCCACCCCGAGGCCCAGGGAGCACCTGATGTAATGAGGTTGTTCAGGTCACGGATGACAGCGCGAAAGGAGGGCCTGTGGCCTGGCTCATAGGCCATGCACTGTTGGATCAGCAGGGCCAGCTCCATCCACTTAGGGGCAGGCAGCTGCTGCCGGTCCTCATAAAACTGGAGCTTCTGAGGATGGAAGGAGGAGCTAGTCACCCTGGTGCCCCCTCAGGAGCCCTTCCCAGACCCACTCGTCCTCCCCCAGCTGTCAAAGGGGAACTCTGACCTTGGCGGGCTCCAGGGTGCTGATGGGCATCGTGACA